GTGACCTGTTGCAGCATAATGATGTTCTCTGGTTAAGTGTGTGTGGGGCGGGGAGGGGGAAGGAGGTGTTAGAGAGGTTCTGTGCGCTTGAAAAAGAAATAATACAATTTCTTTCCAACCACAAGACCAACAAGGCTTGTGAGTTTTTGAAATTTATGAATGATGTCCCCTCCATCACAAGTAGCTTTTCTATGTGATATTACTGGTCACTTGAATTCCCTCAACTTGCAGCTCCGAGGCCGTGCAAGCAGTGTCAGGGATCTGTTTGAAAAAGTGTGTGCTTTTCAGAGGAATCTTGAAATGCTTCAGACAGACGTAACAGGAAAGATATTGCTCTTTCCCACATTGTTTGGTGTTTCTACAAATGAAACTTTGATGAAAATAATGCAAGAATTCCTAAACGGTCTGACTGAAAATTTTAAAATGTGGTTTGAGAATTTTTTAAATTCCAAAGGACTTGCTTTTATTTGTTTGTGATCCATTTGCCTCTACCAATGGACCATGCCCTCCTGAAGAAAAGAACATGCTTGATTTAATAATGAAGGTGCTTTTCAATTAGAGCTCAGATATTCTGAAGGCAAAATCCAGAGAAGTGGGACTTTGCTCAGCAAATTGAGTGCAGAAGTCAGTTTCAGAATACCCACATTCTAGCCATCTATCTCTTAGCTATGTTTGGATCAATGTACTTCCATGAATCTGGGTCTTCTACTGTGAACATGATAAAAAGCCACCACCGCAGTGGCCTGACAGATGAGCATTTTCACCAGCGTATGCTCCTTGCCCCCTGACCACCTACAAACCACTCTTAACAAAGCTTGCCAGAGATCATCGATGTCACCTCTCCTATTAGAGATTGCCACAAACACAGGTAATGTTGGCATATAAACTTTGTTCAAAGATCAAAACACTAATACTTATGTTGCAATAAAGGTCTCTTTTTATTGGCAGCTGAAGTTTTTTTGTTTTTTATTGTCAGCCTTCTGCGCAAATGGTCCGTCTCTCATCATAAAATTCTCAAATCAGCCTGTGGGTAGAATAATTAAGTATCGCTGAACTAGACCATTCCTGACAGGTGTTTGTCTAACTTTTCTTAAAATCCTCCAATGATGGAGATTCCACAACCTCCATAGGAGGTTTTTCCTAATGTCTAACCTAAATTTCCCCTGCTGCAATTTAGGCCCATTATTACTTCTGCTGTCCTCAGTGGATAAGGAGAACAACTTTATCACTTTCCTTTGTTATAACAACCTTTTACTTACTTGAAGACTATGTGCCTGCTCTGCCTTCTCGTCTACTGATTAAACAAAACCCAGTTTCTTTTCAAACTTTCCTCATAGGTCCTGTTTTCTACATCTTTTAATATTTTTTTGTTGCTCTCCACAACTTTCTCCAATTTGTCCATATCGTTACCAAACTGTGGTGCCCAGAACTGGACACAGTTCTCCAATTGAGGCCTTACCAATGTTGAGTACAGTGGAAGAATTACTTCTCATGTCTTGCTTACATTCCTGTTAATACAACCCAGAATGATGTATGTTTGTTTTTTGCACCAATATTACATTGTTGACTCTTATTTAGTTTGTGATACATTATAACCCCCAGATCCTTTGCTGCAGTACTACTTCCTAGACAGACATTGCCCATTTTGTATTTATGGCATTTCTTCTAATTAATTGTCCTAATTGAATTTCATCCTATTGAATTCAGACCATTTCTCCAGTTTGTCAAGATCATTTTGAATTTTAATCTTGTCCTCCAAAGCACTTGCAACCCCTCCCAGCTTGGTATGACCTGCAAACTTTATAGGTTTACTCTCTATGCCATTATCCAAATCGGTTATAAAGATATTGAATAGAACCAGACTAGGGACATATCCTTGCTGGACTCCACTTGATTTGCCCTTCCAGGTTGACTGTGAACCATTGAGAACTACTCTGAGTACAGCTTTCCGATGACTTATGCACCCACCTTATAGTAGGTTCATCTATATTTTCCTAGTATTGTTTGAGGTCACGTGAGACCGTATCAAAAGCCTTTCTAAAGTCAAGATCTGTCACATTTATTGCTTTCCCCACTATCCACAAGGCTTGTTAGCCTGTCAAAGAAGAGTATTAGATTAGTTTGACATGATTTGTTCTTGACAAATCCATGTTGACGGTTACTTTATTGCATTATTATCTTCTACATGCCAATACATTGGTGGCTTGATTATTTGCTCCATTATCTTTCCAGGTACCAAAGTTAAGATGCTAAGTCTATAATTTCCTGGGTTGTCCTTATTCCCCTTTTTATAGATAGGTACTATATTTGCCTTTTGCGGTCTTCTGGGATCTCTCCTCTGCGCCATGAGTTCTCAAAAATAATCGCTAATGGCTCAGAGATCTCTTCAACCAATTCCATAAGTATTCTAGGATGTAAATTTCATCAGGCCCTGCTGACTTGAAGACCTCTAATTTGTCAAATGCTGTCTCTACAGAGACACTGCCTTACCTTGACTACACTGACATAAACCCTACACTTCTCAATGAGGTGATTTTATTATGTCAGCATAGCAGGACAGTTACATCAGCAGGAGAAGCATTTCAGTGTGTACATGTTCACTGTTTTGTTGCCAAAAGCTGACTTCTGTTGACAAAACTGTGTAGTGTAGACAAGGTCTAAGTAATTCTTAACTTGTTTTCCTATTTTAGCCTCAGATCCTACCCTATTTACACTGATGTGCACTGTTAGTGGTGTGATTATTGCTAACCTTTTTGATTAAAAAAAAAATGTAACACTTCAGCCATTGCTGTGTTTTTTGTTGTTCTCTCCCACTTCATTGAGTAAAGGGGCATACCCTGTCCTTGGTTTTCTGTTTTGCTTCTAGTATTTTTGTAAAATGTTTTGTTACCCTTAATGCCCCTAGATAGTCTAATTTTGTTTTGTGCCTTAGCCTGTCTAATCTTGTCCTTACATGCTTGACCTAGTTTCCACTTTTCATAGGACTTTTTGAGTTTCAGGTTGAATATCTCCTGGTTAAGCCAGAGTGGTCTCTTACCATACTTCCTATGAAGAAGGTAGCTAGCGGCATAAAGAGTAATAAGAAAACATTTTATAAATACCACATTCTGCCTCCTTGTTCTTCTAGTGTATTAAACAACCTTTCAGCTGTTGAGGTAATATTAAAATTGACTAAAAGCCAAGGCCCAAAAACTTGTTTGCCAAAAGAACAGTTCACCCAAAAATTTGTAACAGGAAAAACATTGATTTGACCATACACAAGAACAAACTGTTTGGACTTTGAGTAAAATAAAATTTCCCTGACAAATTTGCGTTTGCAGAAGATAAGAAATGTTGGCATTAAAAAATCATAGTGTGCCCTCTAAAATCCCCCTTGTAATAGATTAAGGGGGAGGATAATATACACATACTGATCTAAACATTAACATTGGGGGATTGCTATTGATAAGATTTAAAGTTTTGTTAGCTATATTTTTAATAACTTGTAATTATGAATAGTAAGTATAGCTAAAGTAGCATACAGGCCAAAGCTTTGCCTGACATGAGTGTGTTTGTTTTTCTCAATATAATTTGCTGATTTGTTTACTTGTCTTGGCAGCAATATTACTTTAACCTGTTGTGTTGGAAAATGTAAGCAAGAGGTACAAACATGCAGTGATAAATACCCCACGCCCCCCTCACAAACTTAGAAACAGGATGACCCAGGGCAATGTGATCCAGAAACTACAAATTCAGCAGTAAAATTGTAGATATTGGGTAACTGAGGCTTGTGTACGCATAACATGTGGGTTAGGTAAAAATCAATAGGTAATATGTTGAATGGTGGTTGGAGGAAAATTGGGAATGTTAAAAGGTTTAAGAACTCAAGTGAAAATGAGACCAAAACTGGAGAAATGCTAGATCAGAAACTGAAGTATGGGACTGAAGGACCAGACCAGGAGATGAGAAGTGATGACCATCATGGAGGAAGGAAGGACTTCTTGGCATCCCAGGATACAATAACTTGGGTCCATTTACCTATTCAGTCTTGTCTGTTGTCACTTGTGTCTGGACATGAATTTATGCCAGACAAGTAACAATAATTCTATTCTGAAATTGTATTAAAGACAAAAACTTATTAAAACTAAATTGGATGGACTTGGGACTGGGTTTCCCACTCTACCCTCCCAACAGAGGGTGCTATTTATTAGCCTTCTCAATCTCTATCCTGGGTTTCAGATATGATACAGAATATCAAATTTGCCACCTGAGTATATGGGGAGAGCTCCATTATCTTCAAAGCAGATGTGACCACTTACATAAGTGCTGTAATTGGCCCTGTCGATTGAATCAACTCAAAGTAAATGGTCTGAAGCCCAAGTTCTAAAGTTACATCTTCCTCTTTCCTTCTTTAATTCTAGCAATTGGTCTTTGGTATGAGAGAACAGTGGTGTTACATTTCAACTAAAATCTTTTGGGTGAAGAACATGCTGAAAGCTGAAGTGAATAACTATTGTACTGAAAGTTTTCTCCATATCTGTATGGCGTTAGCACTTACCCAAACTTTCCATAGTAGATAGCTGATCATTTTGTACAATTAAAACTTTTTTCCCATTTGATTTAATCAGAGACACTATTAGTTTTTTCTTTTGCTATAACAATCTTAATTTATCAGAGGGGTAGCCGTCTTAGTCTGAATCTGTAAAAAGCAACAGAGGGTCCTGTGGCACCTTTAAGACTAACAGAAGTATTGGGAGCATAAGCTTTCGTGGGTAAGAACCTCACTTCTTCAGATGCCACAGGACCCTCTGAATCCTAATTTAAATAGCAGTATTTATACTATGCTCTCAATAATAAAATACATGAGCTAAGGTTGTGATTATAAGTGGTTTTAAAAACTCTCATGCACATGTATTTCATACATATTCTGATTAGAACAATATTTAATTTGCATGTATTAAACATCCCTACTTTAATTTCAGTGTCTTTCTAAATGAATGAATTCTGAGAAGTGACCTCACTGCTTTAAGAACGCTTTATTTGTTCCATTCAAAATAATTGTAATTATGACTTTTCATTACCCGGTTTATTGATTTACAGCTGAACAATAAAAAAGGGGTTCCTTGACTCTAAGTATAACAAGATGAAATGGCATAAGATGAAAATTAAAATATTTAAACTGCTTACTAGTGAAACTTTTAGACATGAGTGAATAGATACAATGAGGAGTAATTACTATAAGCCAGATTCTTCCCTCAGCTAAACCAGTACTACGCTATTAACTCTGGAGTAACTGAAGGGGAAATGCATAAAATTAACTTATCAAAAGCCTAACAGTCAAAACTTTACAGAGAAAGTGCATTTTAATTTACCTGAAAACAAATCAGTCCTCACTACAATCCTGTGAGGTAGGAAAGCATTCAGAACTTTATTTTACAGAGGTGGAAACCGAGGCATAGACCAGTTGAGGCCACAAAGCACGTCCGGGGGCAAAGCAGGGGTAATAAGTTCCTGGTTCTCAATCCTGTGGTTTTAGCCCACTAGCGCATGTTGCCTTTCAGTTTATTATATAGAGAATAATAATGCAGTAATTTTTTTTAAAAAGATGCTCATCAAAGTTGATAGGCCCAAAATAGAATGCACAGCCCATCCCACTGCCAAACAACTTGTATTCGAAATACCCTGTTATTAACAAAACTCCATAAATACCAGTGCTCCAGAGAAAGGTCTGCATAGTCTTAAACTGCCTGTCAGTCCCTGTGTTTTCTTGGCTCATGAGTATGGAGCTGGCAGGAAGGGAGACTATGGAGGTGCAAATGTCACGTTTTGTTACTTAAATACATGTTGCAGCAAAACCCCAGCATCTTAAGTTTGTTTTGTTTGGGTCACGTGGCACAAAGGCCAAAAGTTTAAGGACTACATTCTTCCTCAGGCTGCATATATGTGGCTGTCATTTTAATAAGAACCACGTATGTTCATTTAGCCCCAACTGGACTGCAGCCTTAATTATGAAGCACATAATTTCTTCACTATCAGTTGGGGAACATTCTGAAACAAACTCACTTAAGAAAAAGAAAAGAGGGTGAGGGGAAAGGAGAGAATATCATATTTCAGGTCTGACGGCCTTTGCCATCTCTCTAAATAAAGTTATACATACCATCTATATTTGGGGAGATCAAAGGAAAGGTCTGTAGCATTCAATGTGTTTTTTTGTAAAAAGAGAAATCTCATTCTTAAAACAAGATGTTCCTGAAAAAACAAAGATCAGCCACTTGGTTTGTACTGCTTTGAAAGTGCTGTTTTTCTTCCCTTCTGCAGGCTCAACCTCAACATATTCCGCCAGGTATTTGCTAATCTAGAACCCACAGTAGCAGTTCAAGCAGCTTCAAGATCTTATTTGTCTAGTGCCAGTTGAAAGATGACTGCCCTTTCAAATGTATTTTCGATAATGCACCTGATACCAAATCTCTTTGCTACAAAGCTCCTGTACATTAGCTCCCATCCACAGTGAATGCCATTGTAATTACCCTAGTTAACATCTCTTTATTGCAGTTCAAGTGCTTAGGCTCTCAAGATTGGTTTTGTAAATTAGGTGAAAGAACACAGAGGCCTGAGAAACAGCAAGACTACACCCGTTGGAGTAACTTTTATGTTAATAGTTGTATCGAGGGCAAAATCTCCTAAGAACACGTGCTCCAAAACATCATAGATCTTGTATCCCTCCTTGCAATCCAGGATATCCAGTAGTGCTAAATTGGTTGTGAAAGGTCTTGGCATTCCATCTGTGCCATTGTTCATAACCGCTATGGCAAACTGTCCGTTGAACAGGATTCTCTTCCATACTTCAAAATGACGCCACTGTCAAATAGAAGTATATTGTAGGAATTCATTTTCATTGTTTTTGCATCATCATTTCTGAAACTGGATACATGGAAGTCACACACATCCCTTTGTGCTTACAATACTATTCACAGAAACTGTCACCACTATATAATTACCTTAAAAGTAGCACTACTATTAGTTTGCACTTAAGCTGAGTGAAATCCCTGCGATAGATGTGATGGGGGTACAGATCTGATGTAGATGAACAAAATATGGGCCATCTCTCCTAGCTATTAATTCCCTCAGAGAATAGAAGTGAGAGGTGCTGCTTTAGGGATTCACTGGATTCCAGATGTTACTTATACTGCAACTAAAAGTATTTAAGGGTATGTCTACACTGCAATAGAACACCTGTGCCTGGCCCATGCCAGTTGACTCAGGCTCGCAGGGCTAGAAAATTGCAGGGTAGATGTTTGGGCTCGGGATCCCTCCTCCCTTGTGGGGTCTCAGAGCTCAGGCTCCAGCCTAAGCCCAAATGTCTACTGCAATTTTACAGCCCCGCAGCCTGAACGCTGCAAGCCTAAGTAAGCTGACAAGGGCCAGTGCTGGGGTTTTATTAGTGTAGACATACCCTTAGGTACTGTAGACAAGTGCCTGCCCTGAATGTCTTACAGTAAGTTGACCTCCTACAGCCAAATAAGACTGTCTTAAGAAAATATTATATCTTGCTGTGTTTGGCAGCATAAATCTGCTCGCATTTTTACATCACAACAATGGAAGGTATGCAGGGATCAAAATGCTGACTATTCCAGGTGTTTTAAAAATGTAAGCAAGCTGTTATCGATATTTTTTTATAATCTTATGAATTTGTTCTGTGATGGACACTTATGCTTATTAATAAAGAGCATCTTTATATTTTGGGGGGGAATAATCGATAACTTTCTCCCAGAATAGGTGAAGGGGGAATGTAGTAAAATGAGTAAATGATCTCTGATTCTGACAGCTAGCTTTGTGAAAGAACTGAATGGCACACACTGATCTTTATATGTTGTCCAGGTTGAACCAAATGTTCGCTCAATCAGTAGGTATTGGTGCTGGATGCGTGCATGCTCCAGTATTCATTTCTAGTGTTGCTGATTTTGTGCATCTACTATGTTTTGCAACAGCATCAGTGTTGGTTTTGTGCACATTTTTTGCAACTATCTTACATAATTATCCTACTTTCTCTATATTTAAAAAGTTTTATTGCCTTTGTAGAACTAGAAAATTGCTAAAAATAGGTAAAATAGATTACTTCAATTTGAGTGCTACAAGTAAGTTTTTTTTACCTGGGGAAAAAAAATTCCAGTGCCTAGAGCCTGTATCTATTCCAATGCTGTTAAGTGTTACAATTTTTTCTTGACAGTGTGCCAACTGTATGAAGTTCCTTGGTTCTGCTTTCTGCCTGTGCAGCTACATGGTAGATACAATTCTATACTTAATCTGTAAGAATATGTTTATACTTTCACTTCATCCACTGTTGTCAATTATATGATTACCCACCCATCTTTCCAGCAGTTCCAAATAATTTTCCATAGTGAGTAAAACAATCAAAAGTTCTGCTTACTTCTAATCTCTTTCTACACATGGGTCCTATTTATCCAGTGTTTCATTCAAACTATCACATAAGACATTTTTCTTGATGTGATTCTAGGCATCTAAATTAATTTGCCATTCCAGGCAGTCAGGACCAAACGCTTCCCTATCGTACTCTACTGTTAAAGCCCTACATATTTCATCTAATGAGCAGCTGGAGTGTTGGGCACAATCAGGGCACAGATATCTGCGAGTAGCTTGCAGTTAGGAAAAGGTCAGCATAGTTCTTACACGGTGCCAGAGACTCCCAGTGGGAGGAGCTACCTATTGTCCCTTGGCAAGTGTCTCCCTCTAGTGCTACTGGGACTGTCCCCCTTTCACTGCCAGCCCCATCATTTTCTCCCACCCGTTGATGCGGATGGGTGTCATTTTGCAGCAGCTAAAGATTGTGTTATTCCATTCTACTGCATCCATGTAGCACCACTGTGTCAACTCTGTTGCTGTCAGTAGGATTGTTTACTTAATTGAGAACACCATGTGACACTGCATCCATTAAGATTATAGTAAGTTTCCAGATACCTTTTCATCCCTGAAGAGAGAACATTTGTGTGTTTAACTAAATCAACTCTTAAAATTGACAAGGCTAGACTGTACACGTCTTTTGCTTTGTGTAACTTTTAAGAGATTGAGACATCTCATTAATGTGGTAATCCTGAAACAATTGTAGTTTTATCATTATGGCAGGATGTATGGGTAGAGACCAACCTAGGCAGAGGTGAAGAGTATTTACCATAGCAGCATTTGCTGATGGTTATGCAATAAAATACTAGCTTTCCCATTTTATGTGTGGCTCTCAGGCTGGATATGACAAGAGTTCAGGCTCTCATACTGGATATGATGGTAAAATGAACTGACCCACTTTCCCCATCCTCCTTTTGAAATTCTCGGTACTCTCTCTAGAGCCTAAGAGCACTCTAAGCATGTATTGTGATCAATCCGCAGATCTAGAGGAAAGTCACACAAACAAGGACAAAAGTTACTCGTAAGCAGAGGCAGAGAAACTCAGTAAATCGCCACTTGAATTACACTGTTCTTGAATCCAAATTGATACTGGATGAAGTGATGTTCTCAGCCTCCAAGAAAGGAAAACATTATATGAAGCTGTATACATCAGCATAGAAACTGATAGAATAAAAAAACGCTAACAAAATTTAGACTGGATGTAAGCTGGTGCAACTCCTGTGGAAGTGTCTTGGCCAAATTCACTAGTGATGTAATTGGCAGTGTAAGTTACTTATGTGTAAACTGGTCATAAAATGGGTGTAAATTCCATTCATATGTATCCAATGAATGTGTAACCTATGTATGCAGAGAGGGAGGGGGAGGAGAGAGTGGCAGGAAAAGTAATTAATTATAGGAGGGTGTAGATTAACACATCTTTCCTCAACCTTTCCAGCAACATTAAATAAGTGATTAAAAACAAATCACTACAAGTTACGTTTATTACCAAAGGACTGGAAAGGCTGTTTTAAAAATGAAAAATTCTGAAGCTTCCTTTCTTGGGGAAATACAAGATAAAGTTCATATTGTTAAGTGTGAGTTTCTGGCAGAGCTTGGTGATGGGGCACAGCAGAACCATCATTTAAAAATCAAACCAAACAAAAATATAGAGAGTAGACAACTAGCAAATTGGGTACCTGCATAATGCGCTGTCCCTGAATCCCCAGAGAATCTTGGTTTATATAAATCAACAGCTTGTTTTGCAAGATTTGCTTGGCATCCTCAGAGATTGTCCTTAAATCACTGGACATAAAGAGAGGGGCTGCCAGGATTGCCCACAATGCCATCTGCACTTTTGATTGCTCATAACTCAGGCCAAAGTTACCAATAATCAGCTGAAATAAATCAGATACTGTTAAATGAAACTGTCTGTATTGTAGTAGCGCCTAGGAGCCCTAATCACAAACCAAGATCCCAGTGTCCTGGCACATGACATGGGCTCTTAGGGGTACTGCAAATGTGACTCTCTTAAAAGAATGATAATATACACCAAAAGCCAACTACATTACAATTTAGCGCATTATCCTGCAAATCCTCTATGTGCAGAAATCTTACTGAAGTTAATAGTTTAAAGCTTGCAGAACTGGACTGTTACTTGAATTGTCTTTTATACAACATTTGTCCCAAAATTTGATTTCAGAATGAACCATATCTTCTCCTTCATCACAAAATCCTGTTTCCATAATACCTCTGTGCAGACTTGCAAAATTATCTTAAATTTACCAGCCCATCATTAAAATGTACTTGTCTCCCTTTGCACCCCCAGAGTGAGTGAGCAATTCAGATTTTGAAAGGCTACCTTAATTGCCTCCCTTTGACTGTAATATATTTGTTTAAATGTTTACCAATATTTTTTTGCTAGGTTATTTTGGGGAGCAGTTTTTGGTAGCTACCTCAAGTGTGTTCCCAGCCAGGGTCACACATGGTTCCACTTTGCCACCCTTCCTCTTAAACATGTTTGTGTCACAACTAGAGGAGATCATAAAGCATTCTGGATGTTCATGCCATTGGCATTCCGATTATAATTAAGGGTAGGATTCTGTCACAGAGATCAAGAATTCTGTTAACTTTCTGGGACCTCCGTGACTACTTCTGGGGCAGGGCTGTAGCAGCTGTCAGCCTCAAGGCTTCTGGAGCAGTGGCTGCTGGAACAGCTGACCGGCGGCCAGCCCCAAGGCAGCCGTAGCAGCAGCCATGGCCAACACCAGGCCCACCAGAACAGCTGGCTGGCAGCCAGTCCTTGGGCTTAACATTTTAGTTGGGTTTAATAAAGGAAGGCAAAAACTATGCCCTCAAGCAACACAGCTACTTATAGGGACAACTTGAAGTGGAAGCCTGATAAACCAGGAGGCTTCGCAGCACTGAACTGCAGGAAAACCCTCTCCTCTGGTAAACCATCATCAAATGCTGTGGTCTTTTTTGTTGCTATGATGGAATAGAGACTGGTAAAGCATTGCAGTAAGTAAATTACAAAGTATAAATCACTTTGGTGGTATAACAATCCAACTGTATGTTTTCATGGTCAAAAAGTAACTGCTATGAATTTGGGGCCCTTGCTGCACAATGTGAAGGTCTCCACTACGTATTTGGGGCTAAATCCCCAGCAGCAACAAAGCAGAGTTCAGCACCGCTGAGAGGAGGCAGCAAAAGTACTTTTATCCTGGAGCTGGCTAGGGACTGAACTGTCCTTCAGTGCAAGTTAGACTAGCCTGAGACCTGCTCCAGCTTGTAACAGTCTCTTGGGATTGCTGAAGTGCAGCATGCTCCGGCCCTACTCCCTAGGCTGGGAAGGATGATACACAGCCAATGTAGCCAGCCCTAAATCATCTGAAGATTCTTCCATGCCAAGACAATCCTCTGCTGTCCATTTAAAGAAACTTTTAAGGTTTCTTTGCTACATTCCAGTGGCACAAAGAGGCCTTACCGTGGGCCAAGATTTAAGAAAAAAGTTGCAGTCTTTCTTTATTATGCATAGCCGGCTCTGGTGTTCCACACCTTGGTCAGACTGCAATGTGCTTTACTCAGGAATATCCTTGCAGGCCACTTGGATGCTTTACCTGTGCTGAATGTGCTGTGGAGTGGGTTACTGTGAGTAAATTACACCAGTGCTCCATTCACTACACTGGTTTTCATTCTGCTGACAGGTGAAATTTAAATTACTGGATTTTTAAATTTCTGAAGCGCTATCTAATTTTGAGACTTGCAACCTGAAAGAATGCTGCTTGTACCATCCAGTTGGATGAGAAACTGAAGAGCTCTTGTTGACACTCCCTGGGTTTGAACTCTTAAGAACAGGAGGCAAGACAGTCACCATGGAAGCTCCCCAGCTGTAACTTGCTCCCTCTGATGCCCAACTTTGCTGGGACTGAGAGCATCCTGCAAGGTTCATCTTCCTGAACAAATATCCGTTTGATCTCAAGACAAATCTAGAGAGGGATTTTCCACCCAGTAGCTGGGGTGGCTAACAAGGGGATGGCTATTACGTTAGATATTTATTTTTAATATAGGTAATGAACCCAAGGGTCGCACTGATGAGGCATTATAATTTTAGTATGAAAAGCTTTTTTTACCACCCTAATACTTGGCATTCATGTAGAACATCTTTCACTAGATGATCTCAAGGCATTTTACAAACATTAATTCCTAGATAAAAAAGTTAAGGTAGCAAATATGTATCTACTGATTTAAACCAAAAATATTAGAACATTAGTTATTTACAAAATGTTTAATAGGAAATTCTGAGTTAAGATTAAAAACCATTTTGGCTTGAGATCCATGTGTAATTTCTGACTGAATTTTTTTTCCTGAGATAGTTAAATGTGAACACTCTCTATATCAGATTTAAATGCAAAGACAGTGCAACCTTAACTACTGAGCTGCCACCTTATCTCTATACTTATCTCATGCTATAAATACCTCTAATGGTATTATACCATTTTGAAGATGGTTAAGTTGAGATAAAAAGAATGATGCAGTGAGTCAGTGATGGAGGCAGGAGTAGATCCCAAGAGTTCTGACTCTGTCCCTGCTCTAACTGCTGGACATGTTTTCTATGCACAAGTGCATAGTATCAGTCTTGTCCATTGGCTGTTCACAGCTGTCTTATAGAAAGTCTTGCTAAATTACCTTTTTATCAGGCTCTATTTACATTTCAACAGAAAACAAAATATTAAAAAGATAACATCACCATATCTGGATCATTCCATCTTCCTGGGCCAGCTGCAGGTTGCAGATTAGCCTGGTTATTTCCATACCACTCAATAATATTTAGAACACTCTCCCAGGAATCCTGGATGTCACCAAAATTTCTCCAGAGGTTACAAATGTCACCAAGTACGGTATAATTTATCTTAATAAAAACATAAGTAATATATTTATATGTATACTACATATGTGATCATCACATCCATGAAATAAATTATTTTATTTCTACAGCCACTGAATAAACTACATTTATTCTACACCTTTGACCTGTTTCTTGTGCCAGAACTGCTACTGCCATTATAAATCTCTGAGCAACTTCAACAACTCCCATTCTCGGCTGCCTCCTGTTCTCCCTCTTCCCTCCCTTCCTTCTCTCCCCTCTTATTCTGCTGCTTTCCTACCAACACTTATTGCTGTGGTGGGTCAACAATAGCAGAAGTCCACTCTCCCCATTATGACACAATCATCTGGTGCAAAATTAACTGGATCACTAGGCTTCAGAACTGGAACTACTAGGCTGTGAAATATCATGTTATGAGCTGTCAGACAAACAAAAGTAGATGGGGAAGGACAATGTATATAAATACCGGTTTGCTACAGTTTATACTATATTTAAGTGGTATTTTCCACTACCAAAGGTATTGATATAAAACATTTAAAAAAAACAAAGCAGCTGACTTGTTCTCCAGAAAAGCAAATAGGGTTTTCTAAATTTCTAAAGGAGTAAAGAAGTAAAATGTTCCCTAGCACAGAACATTAATCTGTGTTGTTCTCAAACAGATTTTTCCAAAGGAAGAACAACTGATTTTAAGACAGTGGTTTAGTTGCCATTTGTAAATTGAGAAGAGCAGACATCTTTGCCAGGTTATTTTATTTTCAAATGTCATACCCATAATTTGAATAGGAGAGATTGGTATCTACAACGTACAGCTTTCTCCTATAAGCATCTGAAAAGCAGAAGACTTTGGTATTTCATTAGTGCAGTGAGGTTGTTCATCTAACAAGGTGGTGCCACTATGCAGAAATGAATGGAATAGAATAGGACTAGCCTGGGTGATGTGCAGTTCATTCAAATATGTTCCAGCCATTTGTCAAGAGGTCCCAATTAGCTAAATACTGTCAGCTAAAGAGTAATACAATAAAATCAGACAGTGGAGATACCTTTGGGGGAAGCCCTCCTTCATAGGCTGGCCAGCTACATGAGTAAGCGATAGGTCTTCCTGTTTTATTCAGAGCAATGCTCATCTTTGGGTAGCCTAAACAAAATTGAGTATTGGGTATTAATGCAAGGCAATATTAACATATTACATAACAACAGTAGTAGTGTTCTAGTTTTTTTCACTTGCTATTGTTTTACAAAGATAAGAGTGGAGACTCTTCTTTGGTGAATTACATCTGGAACAGGAATTATATATGGAACATGGCTAATTAAAGGTTTCCTTTACAAAGTTACCATTTATGATCACGCTTGCCCCAAACTGACTGTTTCTGCAGATGTAAGAAAAACCATTTTTTGTATATTCCTGTTTTCATGTTATTCAGCAAGAGGCAGATTTTTTTCCAAAATAGATGTGGGATTGGAATAATCTTATAGTTCTGAACCAGTGTTTAAGAAAAGAGCTGAATGGCGTAGTAGCATTGTACTGAGTTGCCATTAAGGAAGTCTGGGTTTGGAAAAGAACCAAGGAGTCTCTTTCTTTAGACCAGCAGAAAACTGAACATCTTGAAGAGATTATGTTCCTGAAAACCCTTACACGTGTGAATACGTTTTTGGGAAAAGAGGTGCTGCAAGTACAGGATCTTGCCCCCTCAGTATCTTTCATTGCTAAGCACCTACTATGACAGTCTGGGAGCACAGTCCTCTTTACCCTATCTGAGACTCACCTATTTAAAACAAATCAAGAGTCACAATTTTACAAACAGTCTCCATTAGCACTCATTATATACATACTGAATGTAGGTTTCAGAACAGTTGGCTTTGTAACACCTATTTTCTTGTGCTTATAAAACTTTATAAAAATGTACTGTTGTAATAATTTGGTCTTCAAACTTACTCTAATTGTGAGCTCAATTGTAAGAAGTGAAAGTTCATAATGTCACAACAACAACATATACAGTAGAACCTCAGAGTTAGGAACACCAGAGTTATGAACTGACCAGTCAACCACACACCTCATTTGGAACTGGTAGTACACAATCAGGCAGCAGTGGAGACAACAACAAAATACAGTACAGTACTGTGTTAAAAGTAAACTACTAATCAAATAAAGGGAAAACAGCATTTTTCTTTTGCATAGTAAAGTCTCAAAACTGTATTAAGTCAATGTTCAGTTGTAGACTTTTGAAAGAACAACCGTAACATTTTGTTCAGAGTTACAAACATTTCAGAGTTACGAACAACCTCCATTCCTGAGGGGTTCGTAACTCTGAGGTTCTACTGTAACAAGAAATGGTGATGGGAAAAGGTGAAAAAGGGAGACAGACTGTGCTAGTTGAACAAAAACACTTACACTGATATAATCCAAGGACTGTGTTAAGAACATGCCTCGCAAACAAGAGGAGTGTAGAACTGGAAATCAATGGACCAAAACTGATGTCAGAAATTATGCCTGACTGCTGGATAAAATAAGGGGATGGGCTATTTCACCCTTCATTCCCTTTTTAAAAGGAAAGACTTTGGGGGGAAAAGTGCTGCAGGCTAACAACCACTGCTGACTGGGAGATGAGAGGACTGGAAGAAGCAAGCTTTACCATCAAGGCTGTCTCCTGGGACTCACTGTTACACCACTGGTCCTTCATTGTCCTAATCCTGATGGAGCTCATGGTGAGACAGGGCCAGAGAGAGAGGGACCCAAAGGACATCACCACCTACACTAACTAAATCCTGAATATCACCTGGGATGTGAGGCTTTGTCACCCTCGCCCATATCCCTTGTTTCTTCTCTTTCCTATCCTCCTTCTTTTGCCATCTGTCTAATAAAAGTCTGACTTAGCTGGCCAAGACCATATATTTGCAACACTGCTATAAGCCTGTGACCAAAGAAGCAGGTGAAAGCAATGCAGTAAACAGGATGATGCTGGTACAAGCTTGCCAGGTCACAAAGTGGCTAACTAGATATTTGCCATGCCTGTGTTTCTCTAGGAGTGAGACAGCAAGTGAGAGTCAACACCAGCGCCAGAAGCTGCATTTTCCGCCTTTCCTATTCTTTTCTCTCCTCATTTGTGTGAGTTTGTTTTGTTTTTTAGAAAATGGGATCTGACTTTAACAACAACAGCAACAGTTCCAGCCCATCTCAACAAACTTTTTCTTGTTTCCCTAAAAGGACAGTTTTAACAAAAAGAAAAACAAACTGTTTTTTTCTTTTAGTAACTCTACAGCTAAAGGGAAAGGGAATAAGGGATATTGTTAAAATAAAATATTTATTTCATAGTTTGCATAACTGTGTTACTTCTTTTTTTATATCTTTAATAAAAGGTTAAAAAGATTTTATTGTTGTGTTTGTCATGGTACTAGGCAGGCTGAGGTCTCTCTATTCCAAACTATGTTAACTGTTAATGCTGGACAATGACAGAGTCATATTAAATACCCTGGACACTCTGGACCTCTTTATTCCCTCAAAAGTAATACAACGGGACCTTAAGAGACAAAAATATTCAATGCTTCATATTTGCTCCCAAACTTTTTTATTTATATTTTTGGAGCTCTAGCAAAATCCCTTCATTCATTCTGTGTTATCAGTGAGTGGAAAAAATATATTTTTCTGTTGTCTTAAAAAAACCAAAAGCCTTTGACAACGCTTTTTGAACAGGACTTCAGCACAAACGGTTGACTTTTACAACTTGGAAAGCAGGCCATTGTTCTCATCGAGGACTAGTATCTTTGCTTTGTTTGAGTAAGCTGAATTTGGCTGAACAAATTTATGACTATTTTAAAACTTACTAGGCCACAAGCACTAGAACACTATGCTAAGGCTACAGATCTGAACTTAAACATAGGGAGATGCACTGCACATCTTTTGAGGATGCTCAGGATCTGTTATGTGGAGTTTTTAAAATCTTTCACCGGAAGCATCATTTACTGGCTGCAATTTGAGGCAAAATACTAGATGTGATGGGCTGACATGACCAATATTCCTATTAAAATGCTATATTGAAAACGAGAAGGAGACTGAGAGGAGAGATGGGGAGGCAGTAGGAAGCAGACCCAGAATGAGAGGGGCACAATCCTGTTGACTTCAGCTGGAAGTTTGAGTGCTCAGGGACTGCAAAACAAGGGCCTTATTTTGAATCTTGTTTCTTGAGTAGCTACTTAAAATGAGCTAAAAGCTGCATTACGAGGGGATGGGCGGAAACTTCATTCAGATAAAACAAGATCATGAGACACCACAACTCAATACTGAGCTTAATGAATCTAAATTTAGATTCACCCAAAACTGATAAACATATAAATTTAAATTATTTGGAGATGAAATAACAGGGATGAAAAGCAAACCTACTACTTCACAGAACTTGAAGATTTCACAGGCTTTTTTAAAAATGGAATATCCAAGTTTAAGAAGCTTCATTTAACAACAAAACAAAACAAAACTCCTGAGCTAGTCTTTCCCTTTTTCAAAGATTAATCCTAAGAAACAAACCTATTGCTTTAACAGATGAGTTGGAATAGCAGCCATCAAGCTTCAGCATGTCAACTTCCCATTCTGCAAATGTTTTGGCATCTGTATCAATGGTGTCCAGTGTGGTCCCAGGGTAACCTTTGCAGGTGTAGTTACCCATGTCACTATAAATTCCAAATTTCAGCCCTTTTGAATGTATCTGGTAAAGCAAATGAAAGTGATTCTGATTAGTTTATGATTCCAGTGTATTTGTCTTCTAATACCGATTGATACTAAATCTCTCTTCTGTTTGTTAAACATCTTCATTACTTTTCTGAAGTTAGATTTCTCTTGGATGCTCTCTTGTGAGGTCTCTGCCTATTTTGGCAATGATGTTCTGAGAGCCTTTACATACCAGAGTCCTAAAAAGCTGATTGTTGTGCAGTAATGGCTGCTTTGGATTCATGAAGAAAAATATAGTTAAAAGGTTAATTACCTGGAGTAATATGTTGCCTTTCATGCAAGGATCTCAAAACAGTTCACAAGGATTAGGATGTAGGTAAGCATTGTTATACATATTTGGTAGAAACAAACCAGAACGGTTAAGTGACTTACCCTATGTCGCACAGTAAGTGGCACAAGTAGGAAACCAGGAATTGTGGCTCCCAGTTCTCTATGCTAACCATTAGATCCCTGCCTCTCTGCAAAATATGGTTTTCATTCCAAATACACACTACGGCTCCATCCTGCAAACACATACATGCTTATCAGTGACTTCAGTGGAACTACCCAAATGTCTAAACTGGTAAGCACACGTGAAACTCTGCAGGACTGGAGCCTTGCTGGGTTCCACTGTACACAACCACATTGTGTAACTGACCCACTGCACAGAATAATGCATCTTTGCTCATTTGTAAATATATCTACCTTCCTTTCAATTCTAACCCAGAGCATGTTAATAGATTCCTAAGGAATAACATTGATTAACCCTAAGTGTCCACTGATCATCATCTATATGTGCAGGCACAATGAAAATCCAATATGTATTTCCCTTAGAGATATGCGCAGAATCATTCACATGTATTACAATTAAGCTGTTCCCTGTAATTTTTCCAGCTAAGTAGCTTGACATTTATTAGTTGTCATTTAAGTGAATTTTGCAGTAAGTTATACGTAACCTTTTCTAAAAACAGTTTCTTTAAATAACTACGTTCAAAAGAAAATTGCATTTTTAGCACCTACATCTGAGATACCACAGTGAGAAACTTACATAATCAGCAAGGGCTTTAATTCCACTTGGAAACCTATCTGGGTCTGGCTGAAGCCTGCCCTGGGAATCCCTTTCCTTTGCAGACCAGCAGTCATCAAGGTTCACATATTCATAACCCAGCTCCTTCCATCCATCTTCTGCCATCTTGTCTGCCATACTTTTGATCAAATACTCACTGGTAAAAAACAGAAGATTGCATTAACAAAATTGTTGAAATGTTACATTTTGCTTATTTGTGTGTGTTTGCAGGGACCTCAAAGGGTCAGGACCTCACCTTTACATCTCCTCAGAAAAATGGCAATTCCAACCGAACAATGCCACTTCATACCTTGCTGGCTAGCCACTGATTCAGAACAGAGTTACAGGGAAAATGCTCAATTCTGGTTCACCTGCACTACTTCTTCCCGCTCCTGAACTTTTCTTTAAAGGTATCCCTTCCAGATATTTAGTAACCTGTCCCTCCTTGGGGGAGGGATAGCTCAGTGGTTTGAGCATTGGCCTCCTAAACCCAGGGTTATGAGTTCAATCCTTAAGGGGGCCATTTAGGGATCTCGGGCAAAAATCAGTCTGGGGATTGGTCCTGCTTTGAGCAGCGGGTTGGACTAGATGATCTCCTGAGATCCCTTCCAACCTTGATATTCTATTCTTAGTCTATAACAGTGATCACCAACCTGTTGATTCTAGAAACTCTCCCAGTTGATCCCAATCTCTGGCAGTGTAGCAGGGCTGCTGCTAAGGCAGGCTCTCTGCCGGCCCCGGCCCCATGTCGCTCCTGGAAGTGGCAAGGGTAGCCCTGTGGCCCCATGTGGGGACGGGGTCTCCACGCGCTGCTCCTGCCTGGAAGCACCACCCCTGCTGGAAATGGCCAATGGGAGCTGCGGGGGCAGTGCCTACAGAGAGCAGCAGTATGTGGAGCTATGTGCCCCCCACCCCCAAGGGCCACAGGGGGGCATTGGCCCCTTCCGGGAGCGGTGTGGGGCCGGGGTAGGCAGGGAGCTTGCCTTAGCCTCGCTGCACCGCCACCCGGGATCCGCCCGAGGTAAGTGTCGCCTGGCAGAAGGCTGCACCCCAGCCCTGAGCCCCCTCCCAGAGCCAGCACCACATATCCCCTCCTGCACCCCAACATTCTGCCCCAGCCCAAAGTCCCCTCCTGCATCCAAACTCCCTCCCAGTGCTTGCACCCCTCACCCCCTCCCACACTGCGAACCCCTTAGCCCCATCCCAGAGCCCGCACCCCATCCCAACCCCCTGCCCCAGACTGGTGAAAGTGAGTGAGTGGGACAGCGAGTGACGGGGGTGGAGGGATGGAGTGAGCCGGGCTTCGGGGAAGGGACGGGATAGATCCTGGGTTGCCCTTAAATTCAAAAAGTGATCTTGGATGTAAAAAGGTTATAGACCACTGGTCTATAAGATCTGAAGAGGTCAGTCTAACATGGTATGTTAAGGGGATAGAATAGGAATTGATCTTAGACTAGTGTAGTCTACACAATGTGTAGTTCAGAGTATTTGTATTGCTTTCAATGTTCTGTAAAAGTGTGACTTTTAGATGGATGCCTATCAATAGATGGGATTCTAAGAATAATTTTTAACATCTCAATAGCTGAAACATCTTTCGAAAGGATTATTCCCAGGATTATCTGGGGTGTTCAAAGAAACATTTTGGAAATCAAAAGTTGTATTTAATTTATATTACATGGTATAGTAATCTCATAGTACCCTGCCTTATAATAGTTGGATTTAGAAACCTTCCCATTTTAAAGATCAACCATTGTTTTAGTTACTTAACAGGTAGAAAAAATGGGACTTGGCCAAAACATTTCCATCTTCAGCTAGGTTCTCTGTCAGGGTTATAGAAGTGACCAAAATATTTGTCTCCTTGGCTACTGCTGTGCAAGCATTACCAAGTTGATCATAAAACATTTCCTGTTCTGTGAATTATAGGAAAGTACTATGATCTTAACAATGTTAAAACACTTAAGTATTTGACACACTTAGCCTTTTTAGTTTCGAGTCTAAAGTTCAGCTTGCTTTGCTTGTATTTATTAATACAAAACAATGAGGAATAGTCTCTCCCTCAGTTAATCTGAAGCAGGCTCTTAACAATAACATTTCTGAGATATAACAGTAGAGGGAGTTCTCTCAATATTTCCTAGCTGATTCTGTTCTGATTCTAGTTGTATACACGAACATTATTTCCTTCCTGTTGTAGAAACAGCATTTCCAGCTTCCTTTTTTAGACAAATTTAGGCCACCTCCCAAAATGGCAGCAGTGAAACACTATGGTTTTGTCTCAATACACCTCTACCTCGATATAACGCTGTCCTCGGGAGCCAAAAAAATCTTACCGCGTTATGACGAACTTGCTTTGATCCACCAGAATGTGCAGCCCTGCTCCTTCGGAGCACTGCTTTACCGCGTTATATCCGAATTCGTGTTATATCGGGTTGCGTTATATTGGGATAGATGTGTACCTTTCAAAGTAGGAAACACAATTATCTAGCAAAAAAAACGAGGAATCCTTGTGGCACCTTAGAGACTAACAAATTTATTTGGGCATAAGCTTTTGTGGGCTAAAACCCACTTCATCAGATTTATGAAGTAAAAAATACAGGAGCAGGTATAAATACATGAAAGGATGGGGGTGCTTTTCCAAGTTTTAGGTCAGTCTAACGAGATAACACCAACCCAGGAACCAAACCCTGTTACAAACCCTGGTGCCAACTCTGTCCACATATCTATTCAAGGGACACCATCATAGGACCTAACCACATCAGCCACACCATCCGGGGCTCATTCACCTGCAAATCTACCAATGTGATATATGCCATCACGTGCCAGCAATGCCCCTCTGCCATGTACATTGGCCAAACTGGACAGTCTCTACGCAAAAGAATAAATGGACACAAATCTGACATCAGGAATCATAACATTCAAAAACCAGTAGGAGAACACTTCAGTCTCTCTGGTCACTCAATAACAGACCTCAAAGTGGCAATTCTTCAACAAAAAAACTTCAAAAACAGACTCCAACGTGAAGCTGCAGAACTGGAATTAATTTGAAAACTAGATACCATCAGATTAGGCCTGAATAAAGACTGGGAGTGGTTGGCTCATTACAAACCTAAACTTAATTTCCCCAATACTAATCTCGCCCTACTGATACTCACACCTTCTTGTCAACTTTCTATAATGGGCCACTCTCTTACCACTTCAAAAGTTATTTTTCCTCCCTTGGTATCCAGCTGTTAATTGATTTATCTTGTTAGACTGACCTAACACTTGGTAAAGCACCCCCATCCTTTCATGTATTTATACCTGCTCCTGTAGTTTTTACTTCATACATCTGATGAAGTGAGGTCTAACCCACGAAAGCTTATGCCCAAATAAATTTGTTAGTCTCTAGGTGCCACAAGGACTCCTTGTGTTTTTTGCGGATACAGACTAACACGGCTACCACTGAAACCTGTCACAATGATCTAGGAAGTCCATGAAGGCTTCCACAAATGAGATTTTAAGATTAAAGAATAAAAATTGGTATATACAATAGGGACAATAATATAAACATCTCTTCATAAGAGAATGTGGAAGGGGGAAAAACTAAATCCTACAAAAATTCTTTGAACAAAAGACAGATGAAAAAAGGGGAAGAAAAAAAATATAAAAACCTTCAGTAAATGGTGCAGGACTAGAATTATTGTACTTGAGGCCACCTTACAACAGCTATTCAACCATCCTTCTCCTTTGAGGAGTAAAGTATTACATTTCTTTTGTAAATAACACATTAAAATAAGTGAATTGAGAATTTTTTATTCAAAACCTTCTTTTAATCTAGTGTAACTGACTGAACCTGGATTTATTCTTATCCTAAAATCTTACCTAAATCCACGTTGGCATTTATATTACCCCTATCACTATGGCATCTAGCCACCAACGTCCTATTATAGCTAGCACAAAGTTTGAGAAGTTTCCTAACTGTGATATTTAGAAGTCTTTCACAGCCATTCTTGATCAATTATTTCACCTGATGCAGTTTCCAGGATCAGTTTTGCAATCGGTATTGCATCTAAAACGTTCCCAAGGCAGCCATCCCATTGGTGGAGTCCTCAGTAAACCATTATCTAAGGATGAACAGCAGGCAGCCAATCCCAACAGGATGCTCAGAGGAGGCAGCAACATGATTAACAGAACAACTATAAATCAGAAGAATGGATCCAATTAATATCTTCACTTTTAGCGCACATCTGTTGTTCAAAAACAGTCCTACAATTTGACTTGTTCTTAATTGCTAGTTATCTATGTCTTAGGTATTTCTGGGGCTTCTAGCAACCAGGTATCTGAAGGACACCAAGGCATAGAAAATACAAAGATTTCAAAGGCTGATCATGATTAAACATGGACAAATCTAGATATACAGGGGGACATTTCCAAACCTTCGAACAATGATTTATTTGTCTCTTCAATTATCAATAGAAAATTTGCAGCTAAAACCCATTAATCACATTGAGAATACATCATGATAAATATAATTGCACACTTCAAGGATCAAACACTTCTTCCAAATATTAATACACTAAACCCTTCAATATTATTTTTGAGTAAACACTATATTGCCATTTGTTTTCCATTAAAATGCATATAAAGCTTGCATGGATAGATTTTTTTCTACAAGCTTCTTAAAAAATGTATATCAGTATACAACATACAGTTTTAATTTTGGCTGGTGGATCTCTTTTTCACCTTACCATTCAGAGACTGACCTGGGGCAATGACCTTACCTTGGGTTGAAGATGCAAAATATGCAACTCCTTTGGGATAAATTATTTTCAGTAACAAATTTGTTTTAATGAAAGTGGCATCAGGCTTAAGAAAGGGATTGGTTAAAATATCTCACACTTCTCACTTGCTCCCAGGTCTTCACTGCTTTTGCTTTCTCCAGTTTAGATGTTGGTAATGAAATCCTACTCCCAGGGTAGGATTGCCATCATCAATGATGCTGGAGCACAAATGGAATCACTGCAAAGACAGAGAGATAGTCACAGACTGGGACTCTGTATGTTACAGAACGTTTGACTTCCTGGGAGGAAACGGTTGATAAAAAGAAAAAAAAATATTTTTCTAATAACTGCAAGGGTAATTGGTGTCAAGTATCATATAACACTTATCAAATAACACTGAACAGCGCACTGATACACAGATACCCTCCCACCAACAACACAGGAAGAAGAACTCCACATGGACTCCTCCTGAGGGTCGAAATGACAGTCTGGACCTATACATAGAATGCTTCCGCCGACGTGCACAGGCAGAAATTGTGGAAAAACAACATCGCTTGCCTCATAACCTAAGTCGTGCAGAACGCAATGCCATCCACAGCCTCAGAAACCACCCTGACATTATCATAAAAGAGGCTGATAAAGGAGGTGCTGTTGTCATCATGAACAGGTCTGACTACCAGGAGGAGGCTGCCAGACAACTCCCCAATTCTAAATTCTACAGGCCGCTTTCCTCAGATCCCACTGAGGAATACACTAATGTCCTACACCATCTACACAGTACATTCCCTGCTCCAGCACAGGAACAAATCAACATACCCTTAGAGCCCCGACCGGGGTTATTCTATCTACTACCTAAGATCCACAAACCTGGAAATCCTGGACGCCCCATCATCTCGGGCACTGTCTCCCGCCATGTAGAACTGTCTTGGTATTTGGTCTCCCTACTCAGCCCCTACGCCACCA